CGGGAAGAGATAGTAAGACTAAAAAAAAAGATCGACTTAAAGCATTGACGGCCCTGGTGAGCCCTGGTAATGATTGGATCCCGTATCAAAGTAAAGAATCCCTTGCAAAAATACCGCCTCGTAATGGGTAGGTACCCCGAATTTTCGGCGAGATTTCTGATTTGCCCCTTATCGTCTTATTTCGATCTCTCGCTTATTATAACTCGCTTACTTTGGGCAGTCCGAGGCGATTGAGTGCCTTGATGTACGCTGTCTGAGATCCCGTCGTCTTATAAAATACGCTCATGTTAAAGCTGAAAGGCAATTTACAGTATTAAACGTTCCGTGAAAACGCTAAACACACTTTCAAAGGCGTTACAACGTAATTATATATGTAAAAAGAGATTTGAATATTATGCCTAATGACGGTTTAATTTCTTGTGATGAGTGGAGTTCAACATTATAAAATTATATTTAAAATTCTAGACGTTTCCTTTTAGAACTTATAAAGATTAAAGTTACTGGACGATCAAACGAAACCATTTTTGACATGACACCCAGTGTAATATTATCCTACAGTATGGTCCATTATTTTAAATCAAAAATGATAAAATGATACTCTGGCATATATATGTTTAAGCAATGGAGGATAATAATTATTAAAAAGAAAAAAGAAATCCACAGTAAAAAAGTTTATTTAATAAGGAAGCTTTACAGAAAAACCTTAAATTGTCTAATTTTAAACATTCTAAGTTTGTTTTTATATTTCTTAGTGCTTTAATATCTAGCATAAAAGCAACTTATACGATTTGTATGGCGGAGTTCTCTAACATTACGCTGCGTGGCGTACTCGCTTGTCTTTCTAAGTAAAGAAGGTGACGTCATCAGTCTGTATTATAAGAAGCACGCTGAGAGCACCGCCAAATCTCGGCGGGTAACCAATTATTTCTGATAACGCTTCGTAGTAAATAACAACCAGGCTCACGGCTTTAGTAATCTGTAGGTTTCCTGTTTTTTTTTGCGAGAAGATGACGAATGAACAGATAGTCTGTGATGTTTAGTGAAAACCGCCGCCCATAGACCAACCCAACAATACCCAACACCGGTAGCACTTGCGATGTCTTACTTTAAGAGCCTCCAAAACCCTCCGTTACCTCAGCTACATTGTGGAATGCTTATATTATTCGCAGGAATTTTTTGAGACCGTAGTACTTGCCCGAATACACGGGCTTATCTCTGTGATGGAGTCAGTCATCGGCTTATGCAACAGCAGAAGCCGATGACTGAATCACAGAGAAATAGAGAACTAAATCACAGAGAAATAGAGTTCGGTGGAAATCCGAAACCAAAAGTTTTTTTCTAGAATCCTCCTTAGTTTTGTTTTGACGTACGTTAACCTTCAAGCATGTATGTTTGGTAGACGGGATCATAGCAAATAAAATAATTAAATCCTTCTTTGCTTCATAATAGTCGCTTTTTGCAACTAAATGTTTTTGATAACGCCATTTGCTAAGTCGCAGTCCTGTCTTCTGTGCCAGAGAGTGGGGTTTCTATCCCCACTACTGGAAAAACATTGTTTGATGAACTTAGTATTTTTCCAATGTCTCGGTGTTTATTTATCTAGAATATGTATTAATTTACCAATTAAAAGTATGTTTATGTATGTTTATCAGTTACATAGTATCCAAAGTACAAGCTTTGCTTAGTTTCGGACTAGATAAGGTTGTTTAAAAATAAGTCCTGATTTATTTATTTCATGGATAACGTTGTGTAAAACCATGTCCTGATTTATTTTTTATTTATTTTATTTATTTCTATAAGCTTTATTTATTAACTCATTTTATTTATTAACATAATGAGATGAAGTGCGAAAACATTAATTCTATCGGATAATTATTCATATTCAAACAGTATGCCACTACGAGATTCCTGCAGATTTGCAAATTGCCGTTTTAACGGTTAACATGCCATCATCGCGTCGAGGGTTCTGCGCCCTGCCGTGATTGAAATGTAATTACACGCAAAACTACCTCATGGTCCTGAGGCGGTCGTAACGTCCGATAAGACGGTGGAATATCGCGCATCCGCCTACGGGACCATTCTGATTTGTTTTCCTATATACATAATATATTTACTTTTATTGAATTTATTTTTATAATAAAACATGTCTAGTAGATCGGCAGATAATAGATATCTATATCACCTAGACTAATCCACTAGGTTTTTTGTATTATTCTTACTTATTTTTGTCAAGTAAACAAAATTGAAGGCACTAAAATTCCCGAATCATATTTCATTCAAAACTGTGTAATTTTCGCAACATTGCCTTTACACAAAAGTACAAATTACTCTCCGGAACTTAAAACATCAGTTTAATTATGGCCATTTGGACGTTAACTTAATACACTATGTACCTCTCATTGAATATAATCAGAAATATGATTTATCGAAAGAATCGAAAAGCAAGCAATTGCATCTCTTTTTAACATATTAATAACATTAAGTGACACCTATTAGAGCCTCATTAAGCTCGCAATTAAATAACACTCGGTGAAACGTTATTATATACGATAGCATTTGAATGAAAAGCTTCAATCCATAAAAATATTATAAATGCGAAAGTAACCCTGTCTGTCTGTCTGTCTTTCTCGCTTTCACTCCAAAATTACTGAACCGATTTAAATGAAATTTTGTACAAAGATGGTCTAGAGCCTGAGAAAGGACATAGGCTTTTTTTTAAATTGGAAAAAAAAAGACTTGAAATTTGGTAGGAAGATTCCTTTCGCCGAGTAGAGGTCAGCTAAGAACGGATTTTACGAAATGTTACCTGTTGGGTCCGCTAGTGCGTAATAAGATTCATTCGCGCTTGTCACTACGGGTAAGTATAAACGGCTCCAAGTTGAGGGCGTTCAGCGTTGTATACAAATAAGACGATACAATAATCATAATAATAATTTATTGTACACCTAAAAAAAAAGTACAAAAAAACTATTTATCAAATATTGGTCATCAAAAGGCGACCTTATTGCTAGATAACAATTTCCGTGCAACCTCAGAAATTTACCAAAATTAACTGTAAATGGGTAGGATCTACATGAAAAGGAATAAAAAGAAAATACCAACAAAAATTTAAGTAATAAGAAAAACACACCTCTTGTTATGATAATACCGCGTGATGATCATCGGGTTAAGAATGAAATAGAAAAGGAGTGTACGATTCATCGATTCATAGAAAGGAGACAGACAGACAGATAATAAGATATACCGCGTCACCAGCGTCAACTTCAGTGTGTGAACGTTTTTGTGCGTGGGAAAGTTGCCGTGGTGCCACACGAGAGTTCGTCAGCTGACCCCCGAACTACGGCAGCCGTGAGATTACGCAAGCCGTATGATAAAGTGTTCAGCTTATGTTATCGGACATAACGTATTGTACATTTCAATAAGATTTTTTTTCACATCGAGGTAATGTTTGAACATATGCGCGGCTGACCTCTGGATTGACTCAAGCTTACGCTCTACCGATTGAGGTGGTCGGGTGTCCATGAGAATGCAGTATATAAATCAATAGCCTTTATTTGTGAAGCAAACGAAAGCCGAAAAGTGTTTGATTTAGTATTTAGGAAAATTAAAACCGGCTTTGGTGGAGAACGTTTTCTTCAAGTTCTAACGAGCCACTTGAAATATTTATTTGCTTCTGAGACACGTCTTTTTACGACAGCTCGTAAAATGAAATTAACTTCATTAGGCGCGTAAATCAATGAATGTAAACTGAGATTTATTTTTCTTGTTGCCGTTAGATACCTATAGATATAGATATCTGTAACGGACGGGCGTGAAAATAATTGATCAAATTATTCAAACCTTTATAAAAAAAAGTCTAAGATATAATCATAATTTTAAGTCCATATAATTTATAACTAATATTATCCGAAGATATGAAAGTGTACAATGTTACTTTGAAGCTTTACTTTACTAGTCACGGTACGGTGTAAAATTTTTCACGTGCTAACTAGTTTTGAAGTATTATTTAATGATTTTTTCTTATAAGAATTCCTTTCCGAAAGCAGAAAACATAATATTTATTCGAATCCAAACGAACTAACAACGCCATAAATATTCAATTAATACTTGTAATGACGAACTATGCGGTGAGCGTGGCCGCGCGTATATATTGCAACGTCTATTTTCTGACTACGGAGTATGAAAGCAGCGAAAGGGTTGTCCGCAAACACTTCCAAGGCGTGTAATTTACTTGTTAGTACACACCGCTGCTCCAAAGGATCCTTTCTTTATGTTACTCGAATAATGACTTCGACTTGACGGGGATAAGCATAAAATATTTTCTAAAATGTATTCGAATTGAACAAAGCCTATATTAATTAAGTTCACTCAAAAAAACATTAAAACCAATTAAAAACGAAAAAATTGAACTAGATAAGTACAAAAAGATGGAAAATGTTTTTATAAGAACTTCTTAACTCTAAGGTTATATTCCAATAAGAAAACAATATTCAATAAACTCGTATTAAACTGGACGAAAATTTAGATATTAAAATAAAAGAAATCATACATATCTTAGAGCAAATTAAAATTTATTATCATTCATTTTAATAAACAATAATCATATTTTTGTAATTAGTACATTAGACTAAACGCAAGGAATAATCACAGTTTTTATTTAAGATTGAACTTTATACAAAAAAAATGTGTATAGTATATGTTATAGTAAGTGGTGGTAGACGCACACAACTGTATCATCAATACATAGTATAAAACAAAGTAGTCCCGCTGTCTGTCTGTCCTTATGTATGCTTAGATCTTTAAAAGGAAGCAACATATTTGATGCGGTTTTTTTTACTAGATAGAGTGATTCAAGAGAAAGGTTATATGTATATATGTAGACGTACATCTTAAGCATACTGAATTGTAAGTTCATTCTTAAATTTTTTACATAGACAGTTAACACAATTAACACTTCAGTAGTCCCACAAGTTGTGCGTCATCCAGCACAGACGAGCCTAGCAAGTCGTCGAGGACTGAAGCTGAAACGAGACTCGTCGACAACCAGGCACGTCGCCGGCACACCTCATTTGCCGCTGTCTCCTCACCGATTTATGACAAGGTAATGCGCGCTCCCGCTTGCCTTTGGTGACGGGAGAGCGCAATATCACCTGAGTGCGCGTGACACTGGTGGATACGAGTGCTTCGTACGCGGAACACGGTTTCTTTTTCGTTTAAAGCCAAAATATTCATAAAATTGTATGAATCGCCGAAACCACGTAAGAGGGAGAAGCAAAGAAATTTCAGAGTACCGGATGGAATTAATCTTGTCTAACTGGGTGTATATTTAATAAAATAATTCCAATAAGCCGAATTCAATCTAATAAGTGAAAACAGAGTCCTATGGTACAGGGACAATATACTATTTACAAATATTATTTATTCTTTCAATATTTTGATTATAAAATTGATAACAGGTAACTTACGTTTGTCTGCCGGTACCAAACGGGTAAATATCTCAATATACATAATTATTAACTATGACCAAAAAATATAATATATTGTTGCTTCTAAATGGTCGAAACTTTCAATTGGATAGCTGCCGATTTAAAGCAAATTCATGGCTTACCTTATAGATGTAAGATGTGAAATCAACACCAAAATTACCTGAAACATATTAGAGACCATTATAATTTGCATAAGTACAATAACAATTAAAATTGATTAAATCAAAATATTTTGCAACTAATTGTCATAGGATCATATCGGTGTAATACAAAGTCTAACGCAACTTTATTGTGGTAAATGAAATGTCAGTAAAATGAAATAAATCATTATATTGTGTAAGTTCCCAATTAGTTTTGTTTGAATTAAAATGTATAATTTCATACATATATGTATTCAAAAAGGACTTGAATGATAATATCGTTCTCGATATTTTATCATTTGATCTGATCTTAGTTGCAAGCCTGTCGGTTGCACGCAATCCCAACGCATGGGGCTCAAAACATCGACGGCGATATTTCACTTATACGAATAAAAGGAAAGCAATTTAACTCGAAACCCATTACCAAATCACAATACAACAAATATATAAATGTTTTTAAACATAGAATAATTTGCAACATCACGGTGTCATTTACCTACTTTTCTAATAAGTATTTTGAATTCAGAATCCGACACATACTAAATTTATATCCTGAAATATTCTTACGGGCATTACCTTATATTATCATTGATGATATAACGAATAAACGTTTGATAACCAATTTAAACATTATAAGTGAAAAATTTGATGAATGGCAGGAAGGAATATATACATTGACCTATGTCACTTATCAATCGCCGGATTAATCTCATTGGATACTCATAATTGCATAAACATTAACCCTTCAAATTCGAAACGAACCGCGTGGGGGAGACCACGGGCAAACTGGCTAGTCGGCTTATATAAAGGGACACGCGAGATCGAGCGGTGCCGTAAGTAATGACACGAGCCCGCCGCAGCCATCGATTGGCAGCGTTATCTTAATAAAGGGCAGCGGGCTGCGTTCATTAACACCCTGACGCGGCGCAATCATAAATTGTGGTGTCCCGTCGCGACCCGCACGGCCACCCCTCCGCTCCCATAGTACCTGGCCCAAGGCCCGCTTGAGGCTTTTTTGCCGTTCCCATTGTTTTTGGCAGCAGCGCCATAAAGCGGCCCCGATCCAACAGATACAATCGCAGGTGTCACCCTTCACGCGTTCTAACTTAATTACTCGCATTTTCGTGGGCGCATACCCACATGGGTTTGGCCGCCTTTGCAAAAAGATAAGGTCGCAGGTGCGGCGATACCGATCGTGAGGGCTTCGACTCCTCAACGACCATGCTTTCCCTGAACGGTCCGATGTCATTTACATTCGGATTCGACTATGAGCGGCCACGGAGATAAAGTCGGCATCGACACGGAAACACACTTTAAATCGGTTGATTAATGGAGTTTATTCTTCATGTGCGGGGTCCATATTCGCCTCGGATGGACACAAACATGGAGTAAATAACCCTGAGCGATAAAATTAACAGCGCTAACAGTCGCGTCCACTCGCTAAGTAAATAAATATCGTGTCCGAGAGTCACAAACATGGGAAGTCATTAAACCGAGCGACATGGCACTCGAGGCAACTTCTATGGCTGTCTGGCCGAGCATGAAGATCAATATCTCTGTGGCTTACTGCCAAATCTTTTTAATATCGTCCCAGACGTATCTGAAGAGCCGTTACGGGGATAACAACAAAACTATTACGTGATCGGTGCGCGAATTGCTCAGCGGAGTTGGCGTAGTCGCCGCTACTATCGGGCCCCCTAGTTAATTCTTATTGTCGGGCACAATGGGGAATAATAGCTCGGCCGTACTTCCCCTTTCGAGCACTTTTGAGTTGGCCGATATTTTACCGGCTTCGCGGTGGAGTTTGAAGTGATCTCGCCATCGTACGCTACTTTTAATGAGGAACGTTTTCGCTTACTACGCGCCAGCGAGATATGGAATAAACATTTTAAACGCCGATCTGGTCGAACAATGTAAGAGTACAACAAAAAAATACAATTGATTATTGAATCGTATATCAACCTACATACCGTTACATGCTTATCTAAATATATTCCTAAATGAGAAAGAAAAAAATATATCAGCATCTTGATAACCTGAACTTTCTACGCGTCTCATCGAAACCTGTTAATATTCCTAAACGCAGCTATGCGCGCTCTAAAATATTTAAATCAAATACAATCTCGATACTGTTTGCGTTGTACTGATTATTGTGGTTTATAGAGGCGGGATTCCATCAGGCATGTGGAGGCGGCTGTAAAAGGCGGGCTTCAACGCAGTCTATTAAAAACGACATCAGCTCGCTAAATCAGCTGCCTCAATAAAACAAGCGTGAACTGAGGCGTTAAGTTTCACACTGTGTCGCACCCGCTCCGGTGCCGCGACAAAACGAACACCTATTATCATAAAGCAAACAATGCGCCTGCAGGGGAAAAAATCAACAAATGTAAGCTTTAATGATATTGGTAGTTCTCGGGATGAATGTAAACGAAGGCACAGAGGAAATGGCCACTAAACGCGCTTTTATCAAGAGTGAGTAGCATCGTAATTTATAGTATTATGCATGCAATAAATACTTATTAAAGTAGTAATTTCTAAATTTCGAATTACTCAAAACGTAGAAGTAAACTTATAAAACAGATTTATTATTTTTAACGTATGTTATAAAATATAATGAAACCAATTTATGGTTTTTCATTTTAATACAAGTTCGAAAAACCGTTAATATTTTTTTTGGAATACTTGGAATGATTTATGAATTTGATAGCGAAATTAAAAAAAGGTGCAAATGATAAACATACCAGTTTATTTACCAAACAAATTCCAAAACATCTTTAAATAAGTGGAGATTAAATTATAGGTCAGTTACTGGGTTATGCGGTCGGTGTATCGAACTAAAAGGATGTAAAACACGTGTTATTTGAGAACGTGTTTATTGTAAAGAAAGGTTTGTAATGTTTTTTTAAATGATCTTTTACCACAGTCTGACAGTATGACTAGAGATGGATAAAAAAACAATAACAGCCTCAACGACTTATTCAAAGCACATTTAGTGTTACAGAGACTGCATATTAATTGAGAAATCAACGTTGGATGTGGCTACCGTGTGCCGGGAAAATACATAAAAATGTCGCGACTGTCATTCTGAGAGATTACAAGTATATTTCCATGCGTAGTGTGAATTAAATATTGATAATTGTGGGACCCGAACTCATAACAGGTACGATATTCTTAGAATTGTTCCAAAAATTCAGGGAAGAAAATGTATTATAGTGTTCATTGAGAGATGTATTGCGTACTGTTAAATTTCTATATAAACACTAGCTGACCCGGCAAACGTTGTCTTGTCGTATAAATTATTTCTAAGGAATTTGTAGGGTAGACAAAAATGTTTGGGGTGGACCACCCTTTAATTAGGGGGATGAAAAATAGATATTGTCCGATCCTCTACCCTGGCCGATATGCACACAAAATTTCACGAAAATCGGTCGATCGAGTTCAATTACAAACCGTGACACGAGAATTTTATATATTAGATTTCTAGCTTGTAATTAGGAGATTGTTAGGTTAGTCATCGGACCACGCTACGGCTTCTGCTGTAGCACGAAAGAGCAGGCTCGTCCAGGGAAGTACTACGGCCGCATTTTAAATTTTCATATTTTTAATTACACTTAGAAGATTTTGTATTATGTCTAGTGAGTAAGCGGAGCCCACTTTTTTTTTAGATGCTGTTGATGTCTATGGGCGTTGGTAATGACTTAACACCAGGTGAACCCATACCCGCTTCCAAACTATACACATAAAAAAAGGTAAGTCGCATCTAGACAGATAAAATAACGAATTGCGGACACGGGATGTGCGTAGCAAAAACTAACTAATACAATACTTAAGTGTAAGCAAGACGATCAAGCACACCTCTTGATTGTCTTTGCCTTTTGTGAACCCAACTTCCACCAGAGGCTCAGATTGGGGATGATGAAAAACAACTATAGGGTTAGTGGACAATTTAAATCAATCAGTGTACAATTTAAAGCGATTAGAGCGTATCAAATACAAAATGTGTGAAAGCCGCGATAGCCAAGCGCTCGCCTTTAATTCAATATACTGGATCAACCTGAGTTCGATTCTCGACGCCGGCACCATTGAAATTGTTAATTTTAAGTGCTGAATTAGCACGTTTTCAGCAGTAAAGGATATTTTCGCATATTTTCGAAATACTAACAAAAAAATTTAAAACAAAAATTTCGAAAATATGGGAAGACCGCCAATCCGCAGTGGGGGCGTGTGGTGGACTATGCGCCTTCTGTACAGAGGAGGCCTTTGCCCAACAGTGGGACATGTATAGGCCGATACTTTACTTACTTTAGATATTAAAAATGTGCGATGATTACTTATGGGAAAAAAGTCAGGAAGTCCGACAAAATAACGATATCCGCTTTAAAAAAGACAGCTTTGAAGCGACAATGAGACAAATCTATCACACACTTTTTAAAATTGTTAAAAGGACCCACGCACAATACGATCACGACAACAGGCAATATTTTAGTTTGACTTTTATTGTAGACACGAAATGTTATCAAACAAACATTTCGCCCATTTGACGCGATTTCGGACCGGGGTCGCCATAATTGATTCTTTCCGGGGCGTGGCGGGCATTGTGCGGACAACGCGTTCCGTTGACAAATAATTTTCGTGAGCCCACGGAGGATTCTTTGCGAGACTCCGTCTCATTTCCGTCTCTAAACGAAACCTTGAGACCCCAACAATGCCGACGACATGCCTTCAAAGGCCGAATGAAATCGAATTTTGTTTGTTATGATTTATTCATGCAACGCCAGTACGGATTGCTTTTGTTATGTATGTAATCCAGAATATGTTAGATTCACTTGTGTCTTACCATAAATATACACTTATTTAATATTCAAATTATTTAAAGTTATTGAATGTTTTTTTTTTAATTATTTATATAAGAAAAAATGCCCTTGTGGGATAACATTATCCTGTATTGTAACGAGGTTTTACATACATAAGTTGCACGTGAACAAACACCCAGATCCGAAACATTTATCTATAGGTCTATAGGTCACGAACCCCGGCTCCGAAGCCAATACTTCGGCAACTGCACCACGGAGTTATTTAATGAAAGTTATTTATTGCTAGGCACAAAATTTATTACAGCTTGTTACTTTGATTGACATGGCGACCAAGCGACCATTCGCCACCAGAGCCAACGGTCGCCTCGGTGATAAGTTTGGTAAACAGAGAATAGACGTCTTCTTCAAAAAGAGCAATAACATAGCAATACTCTTCACTCGGGCCTACCCCGTAGTCAACCTCAACCACCCATTGCCCAAGCAGAAAGCTAGAGCAAATAGCATAATACCGCCAAGCGATCCCATGAGAAAAGAAGGTCAAATCTTTAAGCGTCACTTTCGATCCAAGAAAGTCATTCGCCACACATTAAATACTTAAGAGACAAAGTCACGATCTTTTCGGGCTGGATCAATTACTTAATAACTCGTTGATTAATCATCAATTAATCAATAAAATGCTCTAAAATGCAATTAAAGAAAAAATAATTCTAAGCAGAATAAATATCGAACTACGTTTGCAAATGAAGTTGGCTTACAATCCTTAATTATGGATAACGTCGATTTAACAGACGTTCGTATTAGTCTACCGTATTTGTAAACTAACCAAATACTATAATATTAAAAGTAAATGAATTACAGCATTTATTAAATTTCTACATCGTTATTTTCATGTTCAATATATGCCATTTACCGTTAACTTGATAAAATAATGACCTGGTTTGTAAATATAACTGCAATAGATCAAAGAAAGAACAGCTCCCATAATTGAGGGACTTAAGCGTTTAGGGAGGGAGAGTCGTACAGTTCGCTACACCAATATCAACATAAACGACTAACTATAATATCCATTCCGTCATTACAAAATGTTTAGCGGTGCACCCTATTTCGATAATAACACGAAGTTATTCTAATAGAATATCCGTAATAACTAGGCATCCGTACGCGAAACGCCCCACAGTTTCGAATAATGACCGGCTCGGACCCACACGCGATTAATACGTCCAATGGATTCGATGCAACAAAAGGAAAGGCAAAAAACTAAAGCGGCCGATAAAAGCCCAATTCTACCTGGCGCTGTGCATATTCCAATGTTCCGGCGAACGTTCCGGTGTGGGGAGTAATCGAACTAGAGATAAAACCCTCCCTTAATAATAAATCTAGCCGATAACTTTTGTTTTTCCATTCGATAA